GGCCCCGATCCTCCGGAAAAAAGCCCTTTTCCGGAGGATCTCTTATTCCTACTTTGAAGTAAGAGAATAAGAGATCCTCCGGAAAAGGGCTTTTTTCCGGAGGATCGGGGCCAGTGTAGACGCTCTTTTCCGGCTTTTCTAAAAGCCGGAAAAAAGCGGTGGACATTTTTATTTAAATGCCGCGGGGGATATTTAAATCCCCCGCGGATTTCCCTATTACGACCTGTAAAATTAGCATGCCCCTTTCGGAAAAGGGGCCAGTGTAGACGTACCCTAGTTGCCAGTGATTCTCCATTGACTACTATGTTTCCAAAATCTGTTACTTGGCCAATTCTTAATCAATTTATTATGTGGTTTACTGATATTCTACTAAGTTAATTTTTAAATCAGAATATTTTGCGGGTATTAAGTCAAATGACTTATAAAAATCTAAGTGTATTATATCCATTCAATTGCTTTTACCAAGCAAACTCATCCAAGAATGAATTCAGGTTAGTTGATGAGACCTATTTTCCATAAAATTGTATTTACTTGCATTAATTATATTTCTGCCCTTTAATCCCTTAGGGTGCATCAACACTGCACTTTTACCTTGTAATAAGATATACAATTTGCGCCATACAAATTGCGTAGCTTATTTTGAGATAAATTTGGCGCTGTCTACACAGCATCAAATTTCAAAATAAAGCCGTATTCCGAAACGTCCCTTAACCCTTGTGGAACAAAGCTTACAGCAGAAGTGGGGAATCTCTTTTGGGTCAGGTACCACTGACTCACCGAAAAATTAGTCAGGGGCCAAAAACAAATGAGAAGTCAAGTGAGAAGTCCCTGACTGAGAAGGAAAAGGACACTCCTCACATGCCCTCGCACACCAGATCCTAGGGGGGCCCAGGCTATTAGATTTTGTATACTCCAACCCTGTGGGGCAGTGACAGGGGGGCTAGAGTGCCAGTGCAGACTCCCCAGTGTGGGGGAATCCCTGAGGTTTGGGGACTGGATCAAGCCCCCAAGCTTGAGGTTCTTCACTCCTGGTTTACAGGGATGCCATAATAGCGAGCCCGTTATATTTCAAAATAATGGGTGTGCTCAAAAGACACTAGCTATTCCTTTTGAGAATATCGATATACCTTTATTGATTTAATCTTATATCAGCTTTTCCATTATTTTGCCTAGGATTGATGTCAGTCAAGTAATCCCATTTGCTCTGTTTTGATTATTGGCACATTAGCACTCTTCTAGTCATAGGTATGGAAGTGCTACAACACCTGTAGATATAAGGCATCTCAGCTCCATGCCCTTAGTACCCAAAGTTGTTGCTGCTGTGCTCCTGCAGCCTGGGGGCTCTACTACTGGCCCCCTGCTTGGTTCCAATCAGCACTGCCACTGGCCCTCCACTTGACCCTGCTGCTGGACCCCAGACCTTCATGTCCCACTAGGCTGACAGCCCCCCATGCACCACTCAGCCCTGGGGTCCTAGGTGGCTGCCGCTTCCATGTCTGGGGGCTCCACCTTTGGGTCCTGCATGCGGGGTCCTGGCTGTTGGCCTCAGCTCTCATGGGCTATATCTATACTAGCAGGTTCTTGCGCAATAACATCTTGCACAAGAACACATCCATACTGCCACGTGCTTTTGCACAAGAGCATCCATGACAGTGCAGACACTCTCTTGTGCAAGCAAGCTCGGATGGCCATTTTAGCCATAGGGGTTTCTTGTGCAAGAAATCCCTGCCACGTGTTCACACTGCCCTCTTGCACAAGAGAGCTTATACTTGTTAGAAAAGAGCATAGCTCTTGTGCAAGAAGCCCTCTCTTACCATGCTTTACTGTAAATCTTCTTGCGCAAGAGTGGGTGGGCAGTGTGGACGCTCTGTGAAAGAACAGCTGTTCTTGTGCAAGAACCCACCAGTGTAGACATAGCCATGGTAGGTGAGGGGCATAGACACCAGTAAGATGTGTGTGAAGCTCAGTACCCCACTCCAAAGACTGTTCCAGTGTCACTGCTTCCAGTCTTCTTGAATTTCACCAGTATTCCAAGATTTATTAAAAATTAACAACAGTGGGCTAGAGATCTCCTCAGACAGCTATTTTAGGACTATTATGTGAAAGGTATGTAAAATACTAGGCTAGGTATGTAAAATTTCAATTATTTGGCTAATCAAATAGTGGATACAATTTGCTGTTGCTACACTTCAAAGGAGAAAGCACTGCCATGGAGCATGGGGCCAGGGTCCTGTGCTCCCCCCAGTATTTGAAAGCGGCAGTGCTTCATGGAGCTTGGGATCAGCTTGGGACTGCCCTGCTGATCCTGGGCTCCACACGGTGCTGCCACTTTGAAATGCCATGTGCAGCCTGGATCAGCTGGGTACTCCCAGTTGGCCCCAGGCTGCACGCAGCATTTCAAAGTGGCAGTGCCACATGGAGCCTGGGATCTGGCTCCAGGTGGCGTTGCTGCTTTGAAGCACCCCTTTCTCTTCGCTCCTCTCCCCCCCCGCCTCTTTCTGATAGAAGCAGCAAGCAGGGGTGGGGATGAGGGGGGAAGTGACTAGTCATTCGCATCCCTAATCTGGGCTTGCTGATTTTAAAAATGTGTATCCATGGTAGGTATTGTTTAACATCCTTCTTACCTTACTAAAGGATAGGAAAGTAATTCATTATCCTCATGAGATATAAATACATCATCCGATTTACTTTCAAATACACAACAGAAATATTTATTGAACAATTCTGCCTTTTCTGCATCATCAACATTTTTTTACTATCCACACCTAGTAATGGGCCTATGGCAGTGTAAAGGTTTCTTTTGTTCCTAATACAGTTAAACTCCTTATTGTCCTTATCCCTGCCAGCCATGGGTTTTTCCTAGATGTCTTCAGCTTCCCTTTTCAATTTTCTGCACTTTATGACTTCTTATTAATATTACAATCTGTTTCCTCTTTTTTCCATGTTACAAATTACTTTATTATTTCTAATTGTTACTTTCTCTTTGCTGCTGAGATACAATATGCTTTTAACCATCTTTATTGTGGAATTGTGACTCTTGGCCATTTAATAAACTCGTTTAAAAATTGTCTTTCAGACATTTCTACCTACATTTTTTCCTCCCTGTTATGTTCACTCATAATTTTCCTCAGCTTTGGAAATTAATTCTTTTGAAGCAGCAAGTACCTATATTACCAGTTGGAAATGACTCTGTTTGCCTAATTAAGTGTACTCAGATCATGATCACTGCTCCCTAAGCAATCACTTGCTGCCAGTCCTCAGATTAATTCCACATAGTGAGGTCCAAAATAGTTATCTTGTGGTGTATACCTTTCATTTTAGAACATTATCAATAATTTAAAAACTTTAATGACATTTTATTATTGGCTACACAGAAGTTAGCCACTCCCTCCTCCCAAGCAACAAGAATTGTGGGATTCACATTTGGAGATCTAAAGAGCTTCTGAAAAATCTCCACCAAAGTTTAATTCGTCCTGAATTTTAGTGAAAAAAAAAATCAGCTGGCAAGGGCTTCATTTTAGAACATTATCAATAATTTAAAAACTTTAATGACATTTTATTATTGGCTACACAGAAGTTAGCCACTCCCTCCTCCCAAGCAACAAGAATTGTGGGATTCACATTTGGAGATCTAAAGAGCTTCTGAAAAATCTCCACCAAAGTTTAATTCGTCCTGAATTTTAGTGAAAAAAAAAATCAGCTGGCAAGGGCTT